AATTTCACTGCAAAATGGAAAAATGAACAGCAAAAGTTTTCATACATGTCGGTTGGAAAGCGACTCCTCCTCGGCCGTTTCACCGATTGGCCTCCATATCACTCCACATTGTCTAAACACATGTACCATCAAAATGACCTCAGGGATTTTTGATCAGTGAAACGGTGTTTGAGCAGCGGAGCGGCAAAATGTGAGCGTTTATTGGCCGTTTTTCACAACCTTCTATTTGCTCCCGTTTACACATACAAATTCCGATTTGCACAAAACTTGAATCCATGGTTCAACTCTAGGGTCTAGGTCATTTGAAAGTGAAATAATTGAACTTGGCTCATTAACGCCCCCTACAGACTATTTCAAAGTTTTTAGTATGAAAAACTCTGAAAACTTTGACTCCATCTGTAGGGGCACTAATGAGCCAAGTTCTTTTATTTCACTTTTAATTGACCTAGACCCTAGAGTTAAACAATGTATTAAAGTTTTGTGCAAATCAGACTTTGTATGTGCAAACGGGAGCAAATTTAATATTGTCCAAAACGGCCAAAAAAAGGTCACAATTTGCAGCTCCCCTGTTCGAACAACGTTTCACTGATGAAAAATCGTCAAAGTCATTTTCAAGGTACATGTGTTGAGATGATCTGGAGCGATTTTGAGGCGAATCGGTGAAACGGCCGAGGAGGAGTCGCTTTCCAACCGACATGTATGAATATGATTGCTGTTCATTTTTCCATTTTGCAGTGAAATTTATGGGCTCCCTGTATGTCAGAGGGCGGGGCCATAATAACATTTCTTTCATGTCTTGACTTGAGGAACATGTGTACCGAATTTCATGGCTCTACGACAAACTTGACCTCCGAAAAATCCCATGGGGGTTATTATTAGGCCCGAGCCCCGAACGGGGAAAGGGCCTATTGTTTTTGCTCGAGAGATGTCAAATTCTGCACTTTGAGCCTTAATTTCACCCCCTGAACATGCATGAAAAGTTGTAAAATTTTGACCAAACATCAGACCTGGTGAAAAATTTGATATTTTGGTGTTTATTTTTATGGGACTCAAAAAATGCCAGAACAGCGCCACCTACAACAGCCAATGGGAGTTTCAAGAGGTCAAGTTTGTCGTAGAGCCATGAAATTCGGTACACATGTTCCTCAAGTCAAGATACGACCGAAATGTTATCATGGCTCCGCCCTCTGACAAACAGGAGGCCCATAAATTTCACTGCAAAATGGAAAAATGAACAGCAAAAGTTTTCATACATGTCGGTTGGAAAGCGACTCCTCCTCGGCCGTTTCACCGATTGGCCTCCATATCACTCCACATTGTCTAAACACATGTACCATCAAAAAAATGATCTTCATCCCCATCCCCAGCCTGCCCCACAAGCCAACCCTTCTTCTTCTACACGCCTCTGAAGCCCCCATCCTCACCCCCAGGTTAAGCAGACAGCCTGTGCTTGGGTTTCCCAACCACCTGCCCCTCCATCAAAGACTTCCCTCTCCACCTCCCATGGACCTAGTACTTGGGTCCCCCCTTGTCCTACGTCCACGTCCATCAAAGATAGATGGGGACACGTCCCTTTGATTTTCATCCCCCCTTCACTGTTAGACCTACCTGAACACTCTCAGGGCCTAATAAAATCGTCGATGAAGACTATTCCTCTCACACCCAAATTGCTAATCCTTAGAGTCCCTGGCCAACATGCTAAAACCACTCCCATATGTACCTCCAAAACCACCTAGGGTTTCCAATTCACCTACGAAAAACCCCTCAGCCAGTCCCTCCCCTAACCTCATGACCATTCCAACCCCCACTTCCACGTCCCCCTCGTTTCAACACCCAAAACCTCTGCCTCAAGCCACCCCGGCCCGAACCCATCCAACCAAAAACCCCCTGCACCTTCCCTGCCCCCCTCGTTCAAACATACCCAAAATCCACCCACCTCTCCATCCTCCTCCCCCGCCTTCCCCTTCCCCTCTTGTACATCTAAACACTAGGATGCACAGGTCTCCTGCTTCGGCACCACTGGCAGTCCTAGTTAGAGCGAGACCCGTCTGGGGCCCTGTCAGAAGCCACCAGTCCCATTCCTAGTTATAACCACAAAGACTACAGATTACAGAAAGACAGCTGGAGTTAATAAGTCTAATTCCTGGAAAATCTAAAAGTCTTGTTCCGTGTAAGATCAGCAGCCGACCACAACCGCTGATACTGAAACTTTGACACTTGCTACGCTTAATTGCTAGAAATATCTTCAGTCTGAACCAAACTTTGGGATGGAAGTTGATTCGTCATCTAATTTGCATATTCTGACGTCATCAAGGTGGCGGCCATTTTGGAAAATGTTAATTATTGTATAAAGACTTCAAAAAGCTGTAGCTTGGGAGTTATTTGAGCTCAGGGAATACTATAAACAGTACATGTGAAATATATCTTTAGTATGAAATGAATTTGGGATAGAAATAAATTCCCTGATCCAGATTATACATAATGTTTTAGCACTGGTTCGCAGCCATATGGAATTTTATTATTTTCAAAGACCTTCAGTGATCAAGACTGAACTCTTTATAGTTTACAGTCATGAAATCTGGAGATTGGTTTCAATATTTCCCTTTCAAAGAAGTAGTGGGCATACTATTTTTCTCAGTGGAAATGAGGCTCCAGGATTTATCGTGTAGAAACGGAGAGATGAAATGAATGGGCTCAGAACTTGTCAGATCATCTCGACCACATACAACAGGCTCTTCAACACTTCTGATCCACTTTTGTGGATTATTTTCTCTCAAGAACTGCCTTCATCCTCATCATTGCTGTTGGTAAAGGCAGTGAACGCGATTAGCGATGTGCTTTTTCCCGCGGCTTCTCCCGCGTCTCCCGCGATCCCCGTGGATGTCTACCCCCACTACTTTCTCCCACATGCCCGGTGTTATGATGCCCCTGTCCCCTCCACCACGGACCCTGCTTGGCGTTCACAGAATGCTTCTACCGCGGCCACACGGAGGACAAGCAGCCGCTGCACAGGGGCTGATTGTGGACTATGGAGCGCGGTCTCCCCGTCACCAATAATGTCCGTGTCTGCTTCACTGGACACCTGTGTGTCTTCCTCCTCTGAATCTGAGTGAGCCAGTACCAGACCAAGTACTTCTCTGGTACTGAAGACTTTGTGAGTAAAATAAAAAACACTCTCTCCCTCTGCTCTGCTCTCGCTCCGCTCAGCTCTACCGCTGCTGCTTCGCCTCCGCGCTGCAGCGCCGCAGGTGTTTTACGAACTCAATTTACTCTAAAACTTTCAATATAACCACACCCAGAAATGCTGCTCATATTACAGGCACACATGTCCACTAACCCCTGGTGAAAAGTATTAACAAGATTCTGCACCACATTTTTAGATACAGCCTGTTTAAGTGAGCAATGTTGCTTGTCGCAATATTGCGACTTTGGCGCTTAAAGGGTTAATACAAAATACTCGAAGCTCTTATTTCATATATTTCCCTATCTAATCCTATGAGCTGAAAAAGTAACTGTCCCTACGGGCCTAAACTATGAGGTCATCAGGCACTCTGAAGACAGTTCTCTATCCCTGCTCAGACTGACTGACACATCATCACAAAATCGTTGAAGTAAAATGTGCAGAAGGGGCGGTGTCTCATCATCCCTTTGTCCACACGGAGAAGAGTCCAGACCAGGTCTGGTCTTGAACTCTGGTCCAGCAGAATAGAGGAAGCTGTCTCCTCTATTCACCACGTCTCGTCACTTTTCTGAAAAAACATCTTGAAGAAAATAGGAAGCCATGTTCCTAATTTTGTCTACTGTCATCAGTTCATGTCACTTGTAAGTTTCTGTCTTGTGACAGCCGGCCAATAAAATCCCCATGTCTGTTTTTAGTATTAAAAACATATTAAACAACAATGTAATTGTTAGTACATAAAATCACTGAAAATAAATGTTGATTATATTTATTCACAATGTTCCTTGTGTCAGCGTGGGCATGCATTTTATGCAACAAGCATAGAAGTATGAGAGCAGGCCAGGTGAAGTTTACTTTGAAGTAGGGCTGCAACAACGAATCGAAAAAATCGATAATTAAAAGTGTTAGCAACAAATTTCATTATCTATTTGTTGTCTCGCTCGAGTAATACGTCACCCACTATGTGTTCAGACCGCCGATGCATGCACATGCATAGATGGAGGCATGGACACACTTTCACTAGATATCAGCTGCATGATATTAGTCTGCTGTACTGCTACTGTACTTTCCAGCGTGGCAGAAATGGTGTGCGGGCTTTGATGCTAACGCTGGTACTTCTGCATTGGCGAACACGTTAGGAACAGTAGAATGTCAACTCAGGGTGAAGACATATGTTCACAAGCACCTCGTCCTCCATTGCTCTCTTATTGGTTGCCGCTCGTGTGCGGAGCAAGTATGTTCATCTTCTGGTTTCGCTGCATGCATCTCGCTGCTGTACCCACTGCTGCTGCGCCGTATCAAGAAGTCTTTTGTGCGGGATAACCGTGCGTGCAACGACGTCCATGCAATTCCTCACGTGGACAGACGTCACCATTGACTTTGCATTGAAACTCGTTGCAACGCATGATCCAGTTCGAACACAGCTTGAGAGTGTAATCACTCTGTTACATGTTGGGGGAAACAAAAGATACGTCTTTTTGAGCACTTTACTCAAAAAAAATAAAAAAGCCAATATTTGGCAGATACTGCATAGTATACATTTGTATGTTTTAAAATAATCGTTAGTTGCAGCCCTACTTTGAAGTCATGACGGATCAGAAGCATGTTTTACTTCTGTCCTTCATCGTAAACATTTCCATTTTGATAAATCTGCTTGAGGTATATTTTCCTCCCTGGATTAAGACTACGCCGCTCATTCATTATCACTTTCCAATTACAAAACTCTTCATTTGTTTGTGGACCAGCTGTCTGTGCAACTCCGATCCATCTTTTGGGCAAAATTTTTTGCTGACGCTCTTCTAAGAAAAACAGTACAATACATATGTACAGTCACGGACGTATGTATTGTACTGTTTTGCTATCATGTTCTGAAATATTCACATATTTTCGCTAAGCACTGAAAGAGAAATTCAAGGCTCATTTGACTGCAGTTTATTATACAAAGAAGAACACAGAGAGCTTATGCAAGGGCAGAGCAGAGACTTGAGAGTCTCTGACTGTAGCATTGTGCTGGAATACAAAGTATACAGTAGACAATATCTATGTAATTAACTCAGTATCTGACCTTAATCGACTTGGAAATATAACAAGATTTACAAAAATACATTTATTTATACCAGTAATTGCAATAGAAAGTAGTACATTCGAATTCAAAGTGTATTGATTGCTCACATATTTTCTTAAAGGGACAAAACTGCCTTTTTTGTGGAAATTGTGTCCCTTTAAGAAATTTTGTAATGAGCATTTCACAACCTTGCTCCTCAGTGATTTAGTTCCATGATCAGGAACTTCTGGCAAGGATCGGCACAAGCACATTCCTCGCCCTTAAGTCTATATGCTATACTTTAAAACGGGTAAAACCATGGCAAATCCTACAATTAGATGGAGTGTGTTAGAAAGGCAGAGGGTACATCCTGAATGGTTCAGATCCTATGTGGACAAAGACTTAGCTTTAGTTTGAGAGATTACTAAAACATGGCGGCAATTGGAAGCAAAATACCACTGTGCTAATAGGCCAATGGAGAGGGCATACCATTTTAATGCATTGCGAAGCTGTTTAAAAGTGGGTTTTGCATAATGTTCCCCTCGAAAGCCACTTTTACAGGAGCTGCAGCGGATGCCAATAGCCTGAAGGTCCTCATGCATTCGGCAAAGGTTAAGTCATGCATCAGACTGACCTCTTCTCACTATTGTGTAAATTTGCTTTATAAAAATTCACGCGCCGGCAATCCGAGCGTCCAGAAGCTCATCGGAGCAAATCAAAGTTGTCAGCGCTGTGGGTTTTTACCTTTTAAACAGCGAAGATGGATAGATAATCATCACATGCCATTCCGGGGGCCAATTACACAGCTTTGTGCAGAATTAGAAAAGCTGTTCGCTCGTGGCTCTAATGGATGTTCTGGTCATTAGTTATCTGAGAGGCTCGCGCGGCTGTAATCAAACGTGAAACACGGCCCATAAAGGAACAGCTGTCTCTCTAAGTGACCTTCTGCTTAAGAGTACTGTCACAATGATTACAAACGTGGGCTGTAAAAGAAGTGCTATCGCTGAGCTTTACCGATGCGGCATGTTTACTTTACTTCAGGGCTTTCTTTTCTTACCCACACCTTTCCTCTGTACAAGTTTACTCTGATGTCACCTTTGGGTTTTTATGTTGTGTGTTTGCATGGTTCTTTGCTGTTAAAGTGCTTCTGAACACCATCCCAGTGGACACTATAATGGACTACTGATACTAACCAATAGCCGTCCATCTGCTGCTGATCTTTTGCTCTTTATTCGGCAAGCTTGAGCTGGTAATTATGTTTTATACCATGTCACAACATTGTTCCCCCATCAAAAATAGACCCAAATCTGTTTCCACGCCAATATCATGCAGCTGATTTTTTTTTTTCATTTGTTTCTTCAGTCAAACGATATTCTGTACAACTGTGCACCAGCATCAGTTTGATGTAATCTCACACCAAATCCTGGTCACTTTATTTTAACTTTTGAAGCAAAGCAGGGAAGGACCTGGTCAGTACAGTAATGGGAGACCTCTGGAAACACCAGGTGTCACAGTGGGGTGGCTGCTTCTGTAATGTGCCAAACAGATATTGTCTGGATGAAACATGTATGGTGTGAATGAATAATGTGTCTTTGAGAGTCCAAAAATAATGCTTTGTAAAACTAATGCTTATTATTATTTTTTAAAGTTCTACTAAGCTGAGGTACTTTCCTGTAGTAAAATCTCAATTCAAAAATGTTTTGTATAGCTCTAAATCACAACAGCAGTCATCTCAGAGGACTTTTTAAAACAACAGATCAGAGAATCAAACAAAGAAAACACACGCAATATTAAGAAACACAAAGGAGCCTTTGGTCCGTTGAGTGGTGGCATGACCAATGTGTTCATCTACCTCAAACAGTTGGCCCCTATCAATAGTTTTCACATGCATTTATTTCTGGCAAAAAATCTGCATTTTCAGACAGAAAAGTGGAAACTCACTCAGCCTATCAGCTCTCAGCCTGTTCTAATACATTGAAGACTGCATTTTGTGGTTGTTTTCTCCTGTGGGAAACCTCATGTCTTTTTTATGGAAGTTTGATATCCCAGTTTTAAGCATTTTCTAAACACCAATTTCACCACATGATGCTCAAAATAAACGTTTGATGGTTAGCGTCAGAATTCTCCCTAACAATGTTAATATTTAAACTGGTCTTTTTCAGGTGACCATCTGTCCAGTCCTCAAGGCCCGCCCCCTCTGCCTCCAGCCCCGCCTTCACACAAGCAGCACCCGTCAATCACATCCCTGAGTCGCAGCTCACTGGCCAATCAGAGAAGCCCGAGCCCACCCCCCTCAGCCGGCCTGGCCCACCTGCAGAGTACAGCGGAATGTGTCCAGCTGCAGGACAGCTGGGTCCTGGGCAGCAATGTGGCCCTTCAAAGCAGGTAAGAAGAACTTACAGTTTGAGGTGTGTAAGTCCAATTCAAGCACTACAATGTGCCCAGTGGGAATCCAGTGTGGTCAATGGAGGAGAATCTACAGTACACACTCAAAGACCCAAGGTTCTCGTCAGGACTGGAGTGGCACCATTCTGAAAATACTGCAGCTTTATGCTGATTTAGTTATTTAAATTATGTAATGTTGCTGCCAACATGTAAGCCTGACCTGATTTTAGGATTTTAGGGAGAGAGGCTAACAACTGTCTCCCTTAGTTTCTGGGGACCAAAAACAATCATTTCAGTTCGTCTGAATTTAGCTGGAGAAAGTTGATTCAGACATTTGAAATCTCAGTTAGACCATCCTGCTTTAAAAACTGTGTACACCCTGTTTATTTTCTTTTAAAAAACAGTATTGATGTAAAGTATGGATGTGATTTATTGCTCGCTCTTATTCGTTTTGCAAAATTATGCAGCTCTTTCTGACTGTGATAAAGATTACCTTGTATGTATTTCAGACTAAAGGTAGATTTGAATCACAGCGCTTGATTAAAATCCATCTTGTGCTCACAGGGGCCCTTCAGAGTGAATCACACCTCCATACTTTACTTAGTTTTTTATTGACTTCAGAATAAAAACAGCCCAGGCCCGGTGCCAAATGTTCTTCTTGAAAACATCGCCTCCATTTTTCTAATCAGCGAGCTTAAAATACCCTGGTTAATGAAGTGTACCGCAGCGCGCCGTGACTCGCAAATGGCCCCAAGTAGATAATTGCAATCCTTGTGATGTTTCCTGCGCGGCGTCTGCGCTCGTACATGTTTTGGGTCACTCTGATTTCTTATGGCGTCTTTTTGCTTCTTGACATTTTCAACACAATCGTCATGACTTATCTATTTATTTACTTAACAATAAGTCCACGGTTTTAAATTGAAGACGTTGTTTCATTTAGAGCCGTGGCAGATAATCAGAGGGCGAACCACCAGCTGAAACTGATACAAGCATGAATCTCTTTTATTCATACTTTATTAATGATTTTAACACGGCAAAGTCATTCTCACCAGTGTTTTGTCCAGGAAATCTAACAAGCGCAAAAAAGTCTATCCAATCTTCTGTCATAATTTTTTTTCACATTCATTGCACAAATTAGATGTTATTGGATCATTGCCAAAGACAAAACATCAAAAACATCTCAAGGTACACTAACGTTCCATGGCACTCTGGTTGAAAAATACTGGTTTAAATATTTATCTTAAGCCTCCATTTTCAATTGTTTTTTATTTTAATTTTTTCATTCATTCGGCAGAAACATTAATACATGTATCATAAGTTCGCTTCCTGCGCATTTGCAGATGCATTTCAAAACTTATCTATAACATTATTTTCAATATATGAGCTTGACATGGAGTAGGAGTAAGTAAAACGTATAGCAACATGTTTTTTTTATTCTATTTTTTATTAAAGGGACATTATAATATTAAATTATAATATTAATTGTAATATTAAAATTTACAACTACATCTTGTGTTCCCAGATAACTGGTCACATGTACAAATCGTATTTAACCTCTTATAGTTATTTTTATTTTGAGTTGCCAGATTGAAAGGGGAACTTTAACTGGTTTTGGCTCTTTTTGTTTTATTAACAAAAAATAGCACAACACTTTTATTTAAATGACAGCAGACACACATAAAAACAGTCATATGTAACACACAGAGTTTGTTCCGTTCCTAGCTAAACCCCAGCTGGTGGATTGCATCGGTAATCAGGGCTTAAGAGCTACATGTGTTGCAGACAGGACGATTCTGGAAGCTAAAGTGGGATTGTATTGGCATTATTAGACTCAGTTTGTCCTGTTTTAGGACATTTAGATGTCCTATGATGTCTCCATGCCCTTTTATCATGCAAACCGAGAAATTATTGGGTTTGCTATCACAGTACAGTTCAAATATCCCAGAGCGCTTATTTATTGAGCTGCTAAATACTGCGTGGGTTAAAGCATGTAGGGTTGGGCAAAATGGAGAAAAAAAAAAAAACATTCTATCTCTTGATATACATTATATATCTGTTGTGGGGATGCTTCACAAAACCAATGGCCAGTCAAAAAAAATATCTTTGTCCAATTTATTTCCCAAGTGTTATTTACAAAAAGTGTGAAAAACCGTATATGTACATCTTAACATCTGTACTTAAGTTTGGTACATTGTTTGGTACCTCTCAGCATGCCAGGGTAGACTGATGTTGCCCTCTCTACAACCAGCCAGAGACAGCTCTCCTCTTACAGACTAATTTGTGGATATCAAAATTGCAAGACAGATAATCAATTAATACCAATTTGAAATAGATTCTGGCAAAAATTATCCTTTATTTTATTGAAAAAATATGTTTTTCATACATTTGCGTTGTCTCAGCCTGACACCCAGAAGTGTGACATCACAGCAAGTACCGGCTCATTCAAAATGGAAGTGAACGAGAAACGTTCCAAAAAACCTTGTCTATGAACCGAGTATCAACGGATGAAAAGCAAAGCGAGTTACTAAGAAGTCTTTTACCTTTTGCCACAAGTTTGGGCCAGATGCTTCCTTGAACAAAGAGAAGAGACAAACGCAAACCCAGAATAGGACCCCAATGAGGAGTTTAATTAAGCGAGTTGACGCAGATCGTCACAAATAGGACGCTGGATTGTCATTGTGTGCGCAGGAAAGAGTTGTCTGTGCGGCGAGACCCTAAAAGCACTGCGCAATTGCGCAGGCGCACAGCTTAGAGGGAACATTAGTTACAAATGCATATGTTCGTTCCTGATCAGTATAGGTCTAGTTTACCTAGCCTGGCTGATTCACTTCACATCACATTCCGAATGTGATCATGCACCGGTTTCCAATTACGTGATTGGATCAGGATGTATCTATTCCTGATCATCTGTCTGTTTGTGTTTGACAAACATAGCTTTCTAAAACCTATAATACCAAAGTACCTACATTTTGTAAATATTGTGTTTATGGGCCAACATGACCACAAATAATGGATTATGTTTAAATAATCTCCTTTTAATATGCTTTTTTCTCCGTTTCTCCTACTGTCCCTGAGCAGTATCAGACACATATGTAATGTGTATATATGTTGTTGCTTTTCTGTGTAAGACGTGCTGATGGAATACTAACACAATGTGCGTGTGTGCGTACACATAGCAGTATGCATGTGTGTGTGTGTAAATGTGTGCCTAACAGACTGTGTGTATCATCAGCTGAGCACTCTCTCACAGGCTTTGGCATCAGGTGCTCTGCAAGGCCCAGGACACTAGGGGCCAAAGGGAGAGCCTGGATCAGCCCTAATTACACATGCAGGAGAAACACCAGGCTGCAAATGTAAACAGAGGCTCTGCGTCTGGTTATCAGTCTGATGGCTCCAGAGACCGGGGCAGTAGGCTGTTCTGTCAGCACAGCAATATGATGTATTAGAAAGGATGGCATTGTATTTGTATAGCACATTTCATACTTACATGCAATTCAATGTGCTTAAGCCCTATCCAGATAACATACAGTAATACATCTATGGTTTCCATGCACAAGTAAAAGACTCTGGGAGTGTTTACATGCATGAATAGTACACAGTATGTATTAAATAGAAATAATATATGGAGTTCTTTTGAACCTAATTGTTACCCATCATTTTGAATCTTATTGTTTTAAAATACCCTAAAATGTTGAAGAATTATGTCAATTGGCATAAAAAGTGTTGTCTAAAAAACATATCTTTACACCTCTAGACTCTACATGTCTAGACTGGACAGTTCTTCAGCAGGGTGAATGTAGCCACTGATATTAGGTGCGCGGCGTCCTTGAAGCACTGTTGGTGCACGCTGCAGATGAAAGCTGCTGGACACGTTTCACAAACACACGCTGTAAATGTCTGCTTCTGTGCACTTGTGGATGACCGGCCATAATTGATTACAGCCAATGTAATGCAACAAGGGCCATTACTATGCTAATCCCGTGCGGGCCGGTCTGAGGCAACCAGACGCGCATGGGAAATGGACTGAGTGCGCCGCTGTTTGAGCCCTGGGCACAAAAGCGGCAGCCAGTTCCCCTCCGTTTTGCCCTCACCGCGTTGCTTGTCATCGAAGTGACATTTGAAAGCATCCTCGCGGTGGGACAAAAGACTAAAGAGAGAGTGGGTGGATTTGTCTGAGCTGTTGTTGAAAGGTTTAGGGCGAGAGGAAAGCGCCATGGAAAACAATGCACTCCCAAGTCTTTGGTAATGTGTAATCTCCCTATTACGCTCTTACGGAGAGCTGTTTGAAGGTGAGGCCAGGATGGATGTGCCGCGCTGTGAGTGCAGATGTGTGCACAACTTTACAGAACCCTGTTTCCGCTTTAGGGAATGACACATGTCTCCCAATGTGCCGCTCGTAGGTGCTGTGTGGGTGAACAAGCAAGAGTTGGATGTGGAGCCAGCTTGAATGTTTTTATTCATTTAGAGTACATCTGTCAAAATCAGGGCCTGCAGCCTTTTAGTGCCCCCTGATTCACTTTTCAATGATTAGGATTAACTTGCAACCTTTATGGTAATATGTTAATATACAGTACTTTATCTACTATGGCATGTTATATGACATAATTTTAACACTACATTTTTTAAGTATAGTTTGTTGTTGTTATTGTTGTATAAATGTATTTTATGTTGCTCAAATTAACCAAATACATACAAATAAATGATAGTTAAAGAAGCAATATGTAATATTTGCATGTCAAGTCATCATTAAATGACCCGAATATTTCAAAAGGCATTAATAAATCATGTTCTTTTCAAACACATCTTTAACTGATAACAGTAGTTCATCCGAGATATTTGATTATCAAAATTAGTTTTACGACCCGTAAAAGTTGTTATTGTTTTGATTGTGATGTCCTACCCTCCGCCGTTTCGCCAATCAGGAAGTGTCATGTAAGTCCGTGATCGGGTTGCCAGAACTCCGCGCGGCTCACTAATCTCAGAGGTAAAATAACATGTGG